CATACCCACGGCGGGTCTGGTGGCAGTTTTGTCCAACGCATTGTCCAATGGTGACACGTGGATCGACGAGTACCTTTGCCTGAATGCGACGGTGACGCCTAATGCAAAGAAGGTCAGATATGGATTTCAATTGACGGAGCCTGGCTCCAGGGTATCATGGTCCGTGAACACTCGGGTTAATAATGTGCGTCATGTATCCTTGAGCCACAACTTCACACTTGTGTCGGTGACCATCGAAAAGACTCCGAGTGGGAACACTCCTCTACTGACTGCGATGCTGGCGGACACTAATTCCAATCATACCATGGGACTGTCGTATACGGCGGATAAGACGTGGGTGACGGGGCTCAAAGGCAAGACAACAAAACAGAGCGGCCGTTGGGAGCCGAAGAAGGGATACCAAGTGGCGCTCATGCTGCAAGGCAAAAAGGCCTCTGTGTACGTTGATGGTCGGTCGCTGGGGGAGGAAGAAGTGCCGTTAACGGGTGAGGCGCCACTTGAGCTTGTACGCTTTTGCATTGGCGCGTGCGGTGAGGATGCCGGCCAGAAAACTAAGGTGACGGTGAAGAACGTCTTTCTGTACAACCGCCCACTAAATTCCACTGAGATGACTGCAATCAAGGACAAGGCCCACACTTTGAACGGCCCAGGGGAGGCGCTGGCGGGGTGGGCAGCTCTGGAGGGAGCTGCCGCCAGAGAACATGCGGCTGTGGTGGGGTTGGCATTTGCTGGGAGCGGACTGCTGCCGCTGCTTCTTCTGCTGGGGCTGTGGGGGTTCGCGGCTGCGTGAGGAGTGTGCGGCCTCAGTGTGGAACACTTGCGCTCTCCTCTTCAGCACGCACACACCGCGACGAATATATTTTACTTCGTGGAGAATAATTTCTTTTTTTTTTAATTACTTTTTTTCTTTTTTGCTTGTTTCTTTGGGGCAATCACTATGGGCTTTTTTTTTTTCCTACTCTTCCCTCTTTTAATTGTTTCTTGCCGCGCTCTTCCTGTGAGGGGTGCCGTGTGTTTCCCGCCCAACTGCTCCACTCGCACACCCACCGACACGCTCATGACGGCGGCCCTGTGCGCCTCGCCTGCTGCACGCATGAGGAGGGGCCGCGACGAACGACGCGCTGAGGGAGCCGTGACGTGTGGGCGTGCGACGAGGGCCTGTGGGGCGGAGCACACATTTCTTTCCCTCTTGTTTTGTTTTTTTGCGGCGAGGGCGGGCAGACACCCGCAGCGCCACACACACAGCCACACCCTGCCGCCGTGTTTTGTTTTTCTTTTGCTTTCTTTTTTGTGGATGGGTGTTTGCTGCCACCGTGTGTGATTGTTGAGGTTTGGGCCGTACCGCATGTATCGCTGCCATCCAGCTGTGCCTCTTGCTGTGCTGATGTGCCTCCCTGTGCTCCTCCTCTTTTCAGCTTCTCCAAAAGACGCCCACACACATAAGTATTCGCAAACTGCTCTGCAAGAATGTATTTGCACTGCCGAGTGCTTGGTTTGCTCGGTGTGTGCTCACGCGTGACGGACGGTGCCACGATGGCCTCCTCTGACGATGGCAGTCGCTGTGTTCTCGGCACACTTCCACACACTCTTCCTTGTCTCTCTGTGGGAGTGATTGCAGCAGCAGCGTGGTCTGTGGCAGCGGCTTTTGGTGCAGCGGAGAAGGTCGAGGCGCCGAGGAACAAGAGGGCGAACCCGCAGGACGCGATTACGATGGCGGATGAAAGCTGTTTTGTTGCCTGTGCTTCGTGCATTGCTAAGATTGCGCCGTGTCGCCGCCTGACGGGATGCCTGCACTCGGCACCCTTCGAGGCATTGCGTTGTTTCATTCAGTGTGATGTCACAATCATCATGGCAGCATCTTCCCTCAACGGCTCTGAGTGTGACAATACGAATGACGGCAAGGAGAGCGATGAGGATTATGGTGACGACTTGCACCGAGGGGCGGATTATTTGCGTGTCTTGGCACACGAATCCCAGGAGGGTTTGAATGCCGTCCCCACAATTCCCGGCCTTGCGGAACCGTTGGCTTTCGCGCTGTCACCCACCGTAATTAGTGCCCCATGCGTTGAGGCTGATCCATTTACCGTGGAGTTCACGCAGCAGCTCTCGAGTGTTTGTGCTGCTGGTCCCGCGTTGGCCCTTTCGCATTTATTTCAGCGTTGCCTGGCGGATGATTTGATGTCTGTGTTGTCCAGGCCGCCGCCTCGAGTTTTCTTTTGGTGTCCAATAAGAAACGCTTTGCGTTGCGGTGGATATTTATTTGCGTGGCCGTCGATGCACGTGACGATGCTCAACGGGTGTGTCTTTTGTTTGGCGGGCACGAGGGAGACTTCGGTGTGTGCCGACAGCACCGCGAAAGTCTTCGTTGACGGATCGAGGCGAAAATAAGGGAGGTCTGTCCGCTGCATCTCTCAAGGCAGCTGCGGGGCACTCCGGACGCACAGAGTGAATGGATGGATGCCGCGCAGCTGGGGAGACCAGTTTTCTTCTCCGCCCTTCGTTGCCGGGGGAATCGAGAATCCACAGCGCCACTACCAGCTGCATTTTACTGCTGGGGATCGACTGTTCTGAAGTTGCCCGTCTAATGTGAATCGCAGCGTCAGTGCAGGAAGACACTTTTACGCACTGCGCGTGGTTGCTCCAGGCTCGAGCTCATCAATATTTACGGCAGGGAGCAATGCATCTTGGCGGCCGGTGACGTTCAGGCGAGCGTGTTTCACTTCACCCGCCTCGTATTTGTGGGGGACACTGCGCATCGACCCTCCCCAAAAGTTCCACCATCTTCACTTTCCCCCGCCACCCGCTGCCCTCTGCTGACGGTACAATTGTTTGGCTCCACCAATAATGCGCTTGCGAAAAGTCCTCTCCGCACGTTGTAGGATTATCATTATTTTTTTTTTGGCGATACAAGAACTCCAGTGACACCGCAAGAGTGTGCAGCACAAGCTAATCTCCGCAGTGGACCCTATTTTTCTGCAGTGTCGTTGTCGTGATCCTGCCATTGTGTACTTGGTGCAATTTTGTGGGGTTGGGCCACTGCAGCCGTTGGATTTCTGGATTGCTTTTGCTTTGGTCGCTTTGGGTCTCAGGGAGAACAAGTTTAATTTGTTTCACGTGCGGGATGGTGGAAACACTGCCAGGAGCAGCCTTGCGGAATATTATGGGCTTGTGGAGGAAGTGAGAGGAGGCGGGGGAGGAACTGGTGGCAGCAGTCGGCGTATCTCTTTTCACAGGGAGATGGAGACGCGTGGAGCAGAAACAACACTACTCCTGCGAACGACAATTATACGCTTTCTGAGGGTGATGAAGGGTGCGACAGACATGCTTTTCTCCTGCACTCTTTGTGTGACCGACGGAACGCGGCTGGTGGATGGCCGCCTTTCAAAAAAAATGCCGGAAGAACGGTGTACGCCGGGTGTATTCGAGACGACATGCCTCGGGCCGATCGACGGCGTTGTGAGCGATGCGGTGCTGCAGTGGCGTTTTTTTCTGCTCTCTCTAATCGTTTTTATTTGTCCTTTTGCCAGTTTGTTTTTTTTGTCGTGGAGAAGTTGTTGGCATATGCTGCGGGTGTGGCGTCGACGGAGTCATCCACGCTTTGTCTTAGAAACATGACTTTGAGTCGTGTCAGTCATGCCGTGTGTCCCTTTTCTTGCTGGGCGTCTTTTGGGTGTGTTTGAGCCTTTTTAGGAGCTTTTGAAGAGAATGATCGCGGGAGAGCTGGCCAACTTAATATATATATATCCTGATAGAACGAATGCTCTTCCTTACAACGATTTTCTACCGTATGAATTTTTGGCAAAAAAAAAAAAAAAAAGACTTTAAGGGCATCAGGGAGCAGACAGAGGCAAGATAATTTTTTATTTTTATTTTTGCCTTCCCACCCACCCACCCCCTGTTGATCCCCACCTCGCGGCGGGGTCTTGTGGTTGGAGAAGCCCAAAGTCTGCCACCTCGCAAGTAAGTAATAAACAAATGTTTATGTATCCTTTCCGAATAGAATGAAGCGGCCACGATTGAGGCTGACGAATGTATATATACACAAATACACATACACTTTTTGGGTGTTACACTTTGGGGTATGGTGAACCCCCACTCTTATTCCATTCATCCCTCACTTATTTCTATCTTGTATGGTTTCTATTATTGAGAAACTCAGGATTCGGCCAGCGGCCCAGAAGATTATTTTTTATTGCAGCACCTTATCAAAGAGAAGCAGGAACAACACAAACCGAATTATTGGCTGCACCAACACAAGAAACATTCACAAGAGGAAAGAAAAACAAATTGTGCACCCTGCAGAAATCCCAACACACGACCCATGCATGAAGGTTTGCCCTCTGCAAAAACAAAACAACGAAGCATGCAGACATCTGCCAACATCCAAAAAGAAACGCAAATAAATGGTTGCTTGCATTATCCCATTTTTTGCATCTTATTGTTGTTTTTGCGTGCGCGGCTGTTGCTGCGGTGGTTGCCGTGCCTGCATGAAGTGGTGTGCGCTGAATATGAACGAAGGCCGAAGGCAACTGAATTGATTTTGTGATGAATATTGGCTGCACTTCCCGTGGACCAACAATCCACGTGGTGTGCGGGGATCTCTCTTTTTTTATAGTTACTTTGATTTTTTGGGTTGCTGTGTGCGCTGCGCCTTCTCTTGTGTGTGTGCGTACCCTCCGTGAGGGGTGCCGACACGACGGACCGCTCTCGCCGTATGTGCATGCGGTGGAGCCTTGTGTGCCGCTCCTGTTTGCTTCTCCCTCTTCCATCTGTGTGTTGGTGTTGCGGCAGGGCTGTGTGTGTGTGTGTCTGTGCCTGTTGCCGTGGATTGGAGTGTGTGTCGTGCGTGGTGTGCGGCGTACGGTGCATGCCTGGCTGCTGCCCTCTCCTCATGTGGTGTGCCCTCTGTGTGTGTCTGCCGCACCTCTCGTCTCCCCTGTTGCTCTCCATGTCCCTCACTGTGCAGATCAGCCCCACACTACTGAACGACCACACTCACGATGGTGACGACGTGCCGTCTGCTGTGCGCCCTGCTGGTGCTCGCCCTGTGCTGCTGCCCGTCCGTGTGCGTGATGGCGAACGTTGTCGCGGAAAAAGATGGCCCCTCTGAATCAGAGACTCCGCCTGAGGAACCGGGACGGGGGGCCAATTCTTTAAATTCAAATACCCTTACGTTCCCAGAGGCGGGTAAATCCGGTTTGCAAGATAAAGCACATAATGCCGTTGAGGGAAAGGGACCAGGTGTGTCGTCTACTGAACAAACTAAAAGAGGAAGTGCGCCTGCTCAGTCAGGACCAGGCGTTGGTGACATCGATTCGCCAGGTGCAACGGGTAATTCCGGTAAGTCGGTGGTAAACAATTCAGAGCAGGATAAGGAAGTGTCAAAAAATAATGAAGAGGCTAAGGTACAGATTCCAAATACGACTACGACCACTACAAATGCACTAACTACTACTACGACTACGACGACAACTGCGCCAGAGGCACCGAGTAATACGGTCATGAATACAGAGGCGCCAACCACGACGACCACCCACGCACCGTCACGTCTTCGCGAAATCGACGGCAGCCTCAGCAGCTCTGCGTGGGTGTGTGTCCCGCTGCTGCTCGCCGTATCCGCGCTGGCGTGCGCCGCTGTGGGCTAAAGGGGAGCGTGGGCTGTGCGTGCCAGCACTCAGCCACGGGGAAATGTGTACGTCTACTGTGGTCCGATGTATAAAGTAAGAGTAATTATGTTGATTGCTTTTTTTGCTTTGTTTGCTTCTTCTGCCCCGCTGTGTGCTTCGCGTTGCTTCCCACATCTGCCACGTTGAACGCGTCCTGGACACACTCATATGCATGCGCAGCGGAGCCTTGTGTGTTTTTCCATAATATCTTTTTTTTTTTTTTTAATCTTTTTTTCAGGGTGTTGTGCGAGTTTTGGATTTGTGCTGGATTCATTTGTGTAATGGTGTGTGCGCTGCTGCTTCTGCTAGTGTTTTTTACTGTGCCGCGTCTCTTCTTTTGCTTTCATTCAGCGTTGACGTGTTGTTATTTTGTGCTGAAGGCTGCACGCAAGTGACAGCAGTGATAGCGATGATGATGACTGGCCGTGTGCTGCTGGTGTGTGCTTTTTGCGTGCTGTGGTGCACTATAGGTGTAGTTGCGGACGGTGATACGGAAGAGGTTTTGGAGGACTTTGTTCCGCCGTCCCGGGCTGATGAAACACAAGAATTACAAGAAGAATTGCGGGGCAAGGGACATTCAGCAAATGACGAACAAGTCGATGAAACACAAGAATTACAAGAAGAATTGCGGGGCAAGGGACATTCAGCAAATGACGAACAAGTCGATGAAACACAAGAATTACAAGAAGAATTGCGGGGCAAGGGACATTCAGCAAATGACGAACAAGTCGATGAAACACAACTTCAAAAACCACAAAAAGAAGGAGGAGGCCACCAAGCAGAAGATCCACTTCAACCAGTTGAACGATCTGTGCGAGCAAAACTGCAATCTGAAGGGCCTCGAGTCGAAGAAACGGGCAATCAAATTGAACAAGAACAATTACTACGGGGGACACAACGAAATCCAAACGTTGAAAATAAAACCCCAACCATGCCTGTAGATAAACCCCAAGGAAGCGATGGAGAAGGTGATGTTTCTAACGAAAAAGAAAAACAAAAAGTAAAAGAAACGATTTCTCAAATTAAAGAAGAAGTTGTTGCACCTGGCGCAGGTACTCCGGAAGCGATTTCAATTGAGGGTCACCAGGAAGCATCACGCAACCCCGCAGAAAAAACCTTGGTTGAAAACAAAGACATTGCTAAAGAAAATAATGTTAAAAAAGAAGAAAAGGAAAAGAAAAGTGAACAACAAGAACTTCAATTAAAACAAAAAAACGGAAAACAAGTGACGCTGCATGGCTCACCCACAGGGCCAGCGGCAACACAAGGCTCACTGGCACCTGTACCGCCAGAAGGATTGCAACAGAAGCAGATCAGCGACGGTTCAACAAAACAGCCAGAAGGAGAAGCTCCTTTAATTGGCACAGAAAGTACATCAGATGGAACTACCGACCCACCATTGCCATCCGTTTCTACAGGTGCTGCTGTTGCTGCCACTTCTGAATCCGACAAGAGAGAAGTAAAGGTTAGCGCCATTGCTGAATCCAACGAAACAACGGTAAATGAAACAGACGACCAACAGGAGCGAATTGGAGAAAAAGACGAAGAATCCGCGAAGGGTAAAACAGCCTTTGAAACAAACCAAACTGAAAATATAGACGATAGTGACGGCAGCACCGCGGTCTCCCACACCACCTCCCCTCTTTTGCTTCTTCTTTTTGTTGTGTGTGCTGCTGCTGCGGTGGTGGCCGCGTGAGAGTGAGTGAGAGAGCGCCATGCACCGCCCGCACACACACTCGTCTTTCACCCACTCTCTGTGTGTGTCCCCTTGCATGGACTCTCGCCCTCACCTCATCCCGCGAAGCACACACATAATGTGCCCATTGTATATATTGCATGCACACCCATGCAGGCCCGTTGGTGCTCTCTTTTGCACGACACGCACCGCTGCCGTCCTGCCTGGCTGCATGGGCGGAGCACCGTAGCTTTTCTTTGTTTTGTTTCCATTGCATTGAGTGGGCGACCTCTCTCTCTCTCTCTCTCCACCAACCCATTCCTTTTTTTGCTTTTGGGGGCAATCACTATGGACGTTTTTTCTTTCCTACTCTTCCCTCTTTTAATTGTTTCTTGCCGCGCTCTTCCTGTGAGGGGTGCCGTGTGTTTCCCGCCCAACTGCTCCACTCGCACACCCACCGACACGCTCATGACGGCGGCCCTGTGCGCCTCGCCTGCTGCACGCATGAGGAGGGGCCGCGACGAACGACGCGCTGAGGGAGCCGTGACGTGTGGGCGTGCGACGAGGGCCTGTGGGGCGGAGCACACATTTCTTTCCCTCTTGTTTTGTTTTTTTGCGGCGAGGGCGGGCAGACACCCGCAGCGCCACACACACAGCCACACCCTGCCGCCGTGTTTTGTTTTTCTTTTGCTTTCTTTTCTGTGGAAGGGTGTGTGCAGCTACCACCGTGCGGTGATGGAGGGTGGGGAGCTGTGCTGGACGTAGTGTCGTCCAGCTGTGCATTCTCACTTTCTTCTTTACTTAATGGGTGTTTGCTACATACCGTCATGAGTGAAGTGTTTCCTCCTCTTGCTTGCTTTTTACTGCCCACATTCGGTGCCGGTTCCGCGGCTGTGCGTCCCACGGAATGCACGAAAGGATGATTGGAACAACAGGCCGGATGCCGCACGAAATGTGAAGGATGTTGTGTGGGCTAGTGAAACAGTAAAGTCTTTTCTTTGACCTCTTTTTCTTGTTGCAGGCAATATGCATACACAAACACATGACTGTATGGTACTCCTTGGCACATGAAATAAACGTCTTTCATAATCAGTTTTTCCCTTTTTTTTTCATGTTTTGGGAGTTCTTCTGGACTCTTACCCCTTTTTTTTTTTTCCTGTTAGAGGCACCGATGGTTCACGACGACGATTGTTTTTGCTACCCATTGCGATGGCACGAGGGTGACTGGGCGCCGGCCTGCTGAGTGCACTCGGAGGGGAGCGGATGGTGTGCGCCGTGCCCCATTGTGAGTGTGGGACGCCAATCCGTCGGGGAAGGGAGAAGTGAAGGACTGCGGTATGCACTTGGATGTGCCCGTCCCTCCTGTTGCCGCCGTGTATGTGCGGTGCACATGGCTCTATCTTGCGGTGCGACGTGGATGGCGGTGCGTATGCGTGCGTTGTGCGGCGGGCTTCTCTTCTCCATATCTTCGCCCTGTTGTGTGTGGAAAAGTTGTGGGAGAGGATATTTGTGGGGGAGTGAGCGTGGGTAATTGCCAGCACCGCCCCGCGCATTGGGGAATTCCATACACGTGGCTATGCTTGACGGCGTTTTGCGGCACCCAGGGCGTGGCGAGGAGGATGGTGAGGATCTGTTGTGGGCAGAGGGAGGATGGAGAGAACAGTCCCCTTCCGTGTCCTTCTCGATGCTCTTGGCATTACATACTGAGAGCATAAATTTGAGCGAGTGTGGGATGAAAGGTTTATGCCGTTTTGTGCGTGCTACTCAGTCTTCGTCTTTGCAGGCTGTCGTCACGCTGCGTTGTGGTGCGGTGCTGTTTGATGAGGGAAGGGTGCGATGCCACGGCTGCCGCGCACCACGACCATTTATTGCCTCTGCACCGTCATTGTTGTTTTTCAGTTTGTGTGAATTTTTTTGCGCTCTCATAATATTTTATTTTGCTTCACGATGAATTTGTTGTAGAAGCTTTGGTTTTGGTGCCTGCTTCACGGTGTTTCGCCGTGCGTGTCTCATCTTTTGCCGTTGCTCCCTCGTTGTGTTGGTGGGGGAGGAGACGAGCGACGGCGTCGGTGGAGTTGCGCCCCAGTGGGAGAGGGAAGGCACCGACCGCTGCTGACGGCGACGGTCTTTGCTGCAGGCGATCTGACGGGATGACGTCACCGGTGTCACAGTTAACCGAGATGGATGAGGGCCGCGCTGCGTCTCCCACCCCTCTCATCATCCCCTCTGTCCACTGCGGTCACACGCCACACGCACCGCAGAGCAGCGGCGCGACCACCATCCGGATGTCTGTGAGCCAATCGGAATGTGCAATCGACATGGACCCTTTTCCCCGTGTTTGAGTGTCGCCGTGCTTCTTTGTTTCCTTTGTTGTGTATGCCGTGCGCGCATGTTGCCGCTGCCTGCTGTGCAATGCCGACTCGCGTGAACGAGAAACGACGCCTTGACTGCTGGCGACCGGCGAGCTCTCCACTCCACTTACGCACCACCAACACCAACAACTTTCGGACGCGCTTGATGGCTGGCGGTCGTAACGCTGCCACGTGGTCTGCCTCGGCTTTTGTGTCGTGCACGGCATCGGGACCGCCCTGTGATGCAGCCATTCGGTAACAGAAGCGGTGCCAGTGGTCATGTGGCTTTTTGCTGGGATTCCGCCACTCGGCGCGGTGGCTTTGAGGGGTTGTGTGGGCGTTGGGGAGGGCAATGGTGTCACTGACTTGATTGCGTCTGCGCTGCTTTGTGTCGGCGGTTGTACTGTGACGGGGATTGTGTATGACCGTATGCCTCTGCGTGCCACTGTGTTTGGTTACTGTTTTTGCTGCCTTTTATTCCTTTTCTGAGCGTGCAGTTAGAGATACTTTTGCTTGACCAGCACAACTATCGCTTCAAGGTGTTAGGGATTAATTGCAGTATTAGTATTAGTAGTATTGGGATAACGATCTGGCGGAATCGTGTCGCTGGATTCGCCATCTGTAGGAAGGAATTTTGAAAGCTGGAATTATGGTCGACGGGGCGAGTGCGACACACCACGAGAGCCCTGTTGGTAATTGTTTGGGTTGGTGGATGCGGTCTGCGGTGGATGTGTGTCCGCGCGGCCGACACCGTGTGCGGCGCAGGGCCATTGCGACTGTGAGTGTGGCGCTGCTCATTGCGTTGGTGCTGGCTGCTGCTGCGCACGCGGTGGTGGTGCGACTGCGGGGCGGCACGGTGGACAGAGCCATCACGGTTGGCCGTGCCGTGGACACGGTGCTGATGGACGGCGTGTCCATCACGAACGGTGTGGCTGTTGTGTTCGACGTTGCGGCGATGCTCCCCGGCCCGCTGCGGATTGAACTGAGGGACTGCGTGTGCGACGGCGGTGCGCAGATCTACGTGCGGGGCTACAGCGGCGAGCCGGCGACTGACCGGAGCCTGGAGGTGAGCGTGAGCGGGCTGTCCGGGAGCTACTGCTCGCTCGTGTTTGTGCACAACCTGCCGGCACGCACGAAAGTAACGGTCCGTGACTCGACGATTGTGACGGCGGGCCCGATGCACTACTCCCAGCTGAGCGGGCTGACGGACGCGGTGGCGTCGCCGCTTGTGCTGCACGCGACGTCGCTGTTGCAGACGCAGCTGCGTGTGAGCAACACCGTGCTGAGGTCTTTGCATGCGGGCGGGTCGGCGGTGTATGTTGGCGGCGGTGTGGACCTGTTGTCGAGCGCGGTGGTGCTTGACGGCGTGTTGCTGGAGGCGTCGGGCGGTCCGACCGCGTCCGCGATGCATGTGGCGTCCTCGTCGCGTCTCAGTCTGCGGATCCACTCGGTGTTCTCCGTGACGAACGTGTCGGTTGTGAGCAGCGGCTGCGACATTGTGCTTGGCGAGCGCCTCGCGGTGTCCGACTCGGTGCTGCGCTTCGTGGGCGTCGAGGGGTCTGTTGCGTCGTCGCTGGTGCGCCGCGACGGTGGGACGGTCGGTGACGGCGGGTGGCTGGACCTGCGCGACGTGTGGGCGGTGGGTGAGGCGTCGTCGGTGGCTTCGCTGTCGGGTGTGACGCTGGGCGGCGGCACCGTGTCGATTGCGCGCTGCGCTGCCACCGGCGCGACGCTTGTCTCCGGGCTGGCGATCACGAGCGGCGTCGTGTCGGTGCAATGCAACCGTGCCGGCGGCCGGGTGCTGCAGAGCGGCGGCGAATACCGCTTGGCCGGCCTGCTCTCCGTGAGCGTGGTGCCGTGCGACGGCTGTGCGGTTGCGCTGGCGTGCTTTGATGCGCTGACGGCGTCGTTCTCGGAATGCGTCTGCAGCTGCCGTGCCGGCGGCGTGGGCGAGTCGTGCCTGCCGTTCGACGTGCCGCCTGCGAGGTCCGGCGGCGGTGGTGGCGGCGGTGCACAGGGCTGCGTGAGTGGCGTGACGCTGACGGAGTCCGTGACGGTTGGCGGTGGGCGTGCGACGGCGTGCTTCGACTCGGTGGTGTTCAGCGGGACGATCACTGTGACGGTGGACCTGTGCTTGATGGACGCGTTCGCTGACGCTCTGAACGTGACTTTGCGCCACTGCGTGCTTGTGGGCGGCGCGCAGCTGCGGATTGGCGGCCTCAGCGAGAGCACGGCGCGCCTGATGCCCCACGCCCTCGTCAACATGACGAATGTGACGTCGTTGGAGGGCACGATCGTGCTGCATGGCGCGATGCCGCTGCACTCGAGTGTGCTGCTGGCGAACTCAACGCTGCGCGCGACGGTTGGCGGGTCGCAGTACGTGCTGACGACCCCTGGCCATGCGAGATCCCGATATGGCCCCGCGCTTGTCCTGGACGGCGTCCGGCTTCTGTCGACGCGGTTTGTCATGACGCGGTCTACGCTGTTGTGTGGCGGGGGTTCGTGCGCTGCAATCTTTGTGGAGCGCGGCCTTGACGTGAACCTGTCCAGTGTCTTCTACATGGACAACTGCATTGTTAGTTCGCAGATGCACGTGATGTACGCCCTTGCGTCGGACCTGCGTGTTGGCGGCGGCTCCGTGTTCTCCATACAGAACAGCTCGTGGAGTGC